CTTCCGAGAATGTGAAGACATTGTTTTTATTTTAATTTACTGTACACATTCAGTCACTGTATATCACTGCAGCTTGTAAGATGAATTACCGGACGTGAACCCACTTGCCACCAGTCTGACCCAAGGAATCCTGCTGTGGAACAAACAGCCCTCCAGGCTGCTGCCTCCAACCCGGCCTCCTCTCCCAGACCCCTTTCCTCTCACTCTCCCCACTCTCCCGCCTCCCACACTGTCTCCAGTGTCCTAACTGGTTTCCAATGTGAAAACATAGTTTTAAATACATTTTCAAATTCAGGCTGGGCTGCTGAGCTTCCAGGGAAGTCTTGTGTCCTCCAGATGCCTAGTGAGCTGGGGTGGGATCCCTGCTGTGTATTTAGAGCGGGAAGCTAGCCCAGGGCTGTTGGAAAGCCGGCCGGGGGGCGTGGGCCCTCTGCAGGCTTAGGTCACAGCCAGTGCACCCTCCTGTGCCCAGGGGAGCAGTCGTGGTGACCAGGCCCTCTGCCTAAGTGCCCCCTCGGTGTGCGTGGTCTCCTGTTCACAAGGCAGCCTCTTCTCCCTGTTCTTGAGGTTCGAGGGATTGTGTGCAGCTGAGAAACCTGGGTTGTGTGTTGTCCTGGGATGAAGGAAGGAGAAAGGAAAATAACAGACATTTTCTGTCCCCTGCACGTGCCGGCCGGCTGTCCACAGAACGGCTACACGCCCCTGCACCAGGCCGCGCAGCAGGGCCACACACACATCATCAACGTGCTGCTACAGCAGGGCGCGCAGCCCAACGCCACCACCGCGGTGAGTGCAACGCCCCAGCCCTGCCCCTCTCAAGTTGGGGGGACCTGACCTCGGGAGGGGCGGGCACTGAGGCTCCCCAGGAGGGGGCGGTGCAGGATCAGGGGGCTCCCCAGGAGGGGGCGGTGCAGATGCAGAGGCTCCCCAGGAAGGGGCGGTGCAGGCACAGAGGGCCTACAGGTACAGGTTCAGGCTCTCAGGCAGGGGCCAGGCTCTGGCCTGGAGCGCCTTCTGCAACTGCTCTCAGGGAACACAGTCCCTCCAGCGTCCTGCCTCCCATCTTCCCCAGGCACAGTGAACAAACGGTCTTCTGAGAGGCGAGTGGGCTGAGGCCTGAAGGCCTGAGTCTGTGCTTGGTCCCACTGCAGTGGGAGCTTGCATAGCTGCAGCTGGAGGAGCCCCAGCGGTGGCATCCCCAGGTGGCATCCTGCATAGTGGCACACTGCCTGGTGGTACCCTCCTGGGGCAGCAGGTCTGCCGAGGGCACTGGTCCCTCGTTGGCTGGTCGGGTGGCTTCACCCTCACTAAGTACTGTCCTGAGCACAGCACGTACTTGTGGGAAGTCTGCCTAGAGTTAAAGCGTGAGCGCCTCTTACTAAGGGAGCAGATTGACAGGCTTGTTGTGTTGCCTTGGTGACCTGGGCTAGATTTGGGTGGAATGGGGCCTTGTTTTTGAAGGAAGTGCTGGCCCAGGCAGTGGGTGAGCTCACTGGTTCCCTGGCTCTCTCCTGCTCATTCCTGC